TATTTCTCGTAACAAAAAAATTCTGTCAATTTCACTTTTTTAAATCAAAGATTAAATTTTTTCATGAAAACGGAATAAAAACTCCTAAAGTTTGTTTTTTAAATTTTTTTTTTTTTTTTTTTTAAAATAATAAAAATCTTTTTTTTTTTCAAATTAAAAAGGAATATGATGGACATTTTACTCACTGTATTGAACAAAGTGGTGGAAGTGCTGTTGATCTTGTTGAATTAGTTGTTAAAAAATTTCCTTCTTACAGAGATGAAGCTATTTATGATGGACAACGAGGTTTACGCCGTTTTTTTTTATTTTTTATTTTTTTTTTTTATTGAAAACATTTTTTTTATAGTCAGTTTTTATAAACGAGCACAAATTTTAGTTGCTGATATTTGGGGATGCTTTAATGGACATGGTTTCGGTCATTTTACTGATATGGTTTGTTTTATTATTTTTTTTTTTTCTAAAATTCTTTATAAATAATTGTAGGATGGTTTAACAATGTTTGCTGATTATCGTGTTCCACAAGTTTTATCCCATGAAGGTGTTCTTGTTTATTCAAATGAATTAAAACATCGAATTGAAAGAAAAGAAGAAATTCCATTTGGAGATCCAGATGAATGTGAAATACGTGCTGCATCAATTTTATCTGTACATCTTATTGTTAATCAAGCAAATGAAAAAATTCCTTTAGAAAAAGATACAGGAGATGGAGGACAAAGATTAAATGCACCACTTGTTGATGTTTATTTATGGCGAAGAAGACGAGAATTAACTCAATTTTACAAACAAACACCTTTTCATCGTACAAGATCAATTTTTTATTAAATTCATTTCCTTTTTTCATTATTCATTGTTCATTTTCTGCCCCAATATTATTTCGGAATTTATTAGAACAATCAAATAAATAAAGAATTTATTCAAAAATAAGTTTTCTCTTTTTATTTAATAAATCATCAACAATATAAATAATGAGCAAAAAAAATTTTTTCTTTTTTTTTTATTAAACAAAAAAACAAAATTTTTTTTTTCTAAAAGAAAAGATTAATACGTCAATGCCTTGTTATTTACAGTGACATTATAATCTCGAAATAAATAAAAATAAAATAATTGAGGAAACACAATATAAGTTTACATTCTTATTGACTTAATTTATTTTCAATATAAGTTACCTTAGTATTTATTGCCACTTTAGCAACATTGTTAAACAAAATTCATTTAGTTAATTGTGCACGTCTTTATCTTTGTTTTCTATATGTAACATCTATAAACGTAACAAAATAGTTATCTAACTACTGTAGATCATCTATAGAAAAAAAAAATATCGATCATACCGTTACCCACGGAAAAATTTTTTCATAAAAACCGTTAAAAACCGCGGTTATTTTGACCGCGGTTTTCTCCGGTTTTGACAAACCGCGAAAGTCAGACCTTTTATGCGGTATTTTCAAACCGCTATGCA